CACCCCCCCCCCCCCCCCCCCACCCCCACCCCCACCACCCCCACCACCACCACCACCCCCCACCCCCCCCCCCCCCCCCCCCCCCCCCCCCCCAACAACCCCCCCCCCCCCCCCCCCCCCCCGAGCGCGGATTTAGGTATACTCTCTACAACTACCTTAGCCAGTAAGAGCAATAATCCTCACATCCGTCTCAAAACAATCCGCCCGCCCCGAGAAATTCCCACTCTTCCCCAGCGCAAGATATCCATCACAGACGCCCCAGACATCCCCCGTCTCGCCGACATAATTGCACTGCAAGCCGTCGCAAGCGGTACACACGAGCGGGAAGCCCGCCGTGCCCGTTGCGTCCAGAAAAATCCACGGGTGGATATCGGCGGCGTTCTTGTTGAAGACGGCTTTGGGGTTGGAGAGGTCGAATTTGCTGCCGGGGGTTTGTTGCGGGAAGCCGACGACGGTGCCGGTGCCTTCGGGGGGTGTGACGAGGGAGCCGTAGAAGGTGGTGGTGGAGGTGGTGTAGTAGACGTAGAAGCTGGCCGGGGTGGAGGAGGGGGAGGAGACGGTGATGGTGGTTGTTGTGGTGGTGGAGGATCCCGAGGAGGCGGAGGGGAGGAGACGGGCGCCGTTGACGCCGTCGTAGACTCGGGCGCCGACGGTGCCTTTCATGTAGCATGCGGTGCCGGAGAGGACGGCGTCGACGCAGAGCGGCTGCGCGGCGCAGGCGTTGAGGCAGCCGGCCAGGTCGGCGACGTAGACGGGTTGGTTGGCGAGGTCGCCCCCGGCGTGGTCGATGCCGCATTCGATCAGGAAGGATTTGCCGTTGGAGGTGACGGTTGTCTGGTTCATGCTGGGGCAGACGATGTTGCTCACGGTCCCCGTGGCGGCGGGAGGTGAAGTCGTCGTTGTTGCTCGTTTCTCTACAACGTCCCTGGCTCCGATCGTTGCGGTGGGCCGGGAGTTGTCGGTACAGTAAAATACCGTGGAGGTGCTGAGGTCTGTCAGCTAAGGGTCACTCGCTCTGAAAGCACGTTGGTTTACTTACGCTGTAACAGTCACAGCCCTCCTCTGCAATTCCACTGGGTTTGCAGATGCAAGACCCAGAAGTCCCAAGGCGATGAGATTGCGAAAGGCACCCATTTTGCAGCGTTGCTATCCAGTCTCCAGGATACAAGCAAATTCTGATCTCGTTGAGTTACCTGGCAGTATGTTATGTTAGATCAGTCAACCGTACGACTGACCCTCCTGCTTTATACAATTCCATCGTCCGGCTTCCAACGTATCGCACCGGCCTGCTCATTCCTTTCGCCTCGGGGAACTGGTGCCTTCTGCTCAGCCTCTTCCGCTCAAGTCGAGTCCGAACAAACGACACTCGTTGGGTTGGTTGCTATTCTGATCCATCGCGAAGGGGCGAGAGCCAGTCCAGAGACGAACAAGCCGCTTGGTCCATCCATCCCAAAGAAGGCCGCCAACTGCGCCATGAACAATCGCGTTTGCGTGTCACGCTCCGCGACCCAGCGCGGGAACGGCCTCCATCGGTCAGAAACCAACATCCGGCTGATCTCGAACGATCCACCATCACGACCACGTATGCCCATTCCAGCAGACGACAGTTCTTTGTTTAGACCTGAATCGGCTTTTATGGGATCCTGAAGGATCTCCACGTGAAAGGGAAGTCAGGGCAGCGCTACACCCATCAATGCATGCAGCCACCCGGTCAGCGCAGGAACCAGAGCACGGCATCCAGAACTGCATGGTGAGCACGTGGCGTGAGGCTGAAGGATCTCAACCATGAATCTGCAAGATAGCGCTGTGAGACCAGCCTTGTGCTCACACTGTGGGTCCTCAGGATCGTATGTGCGTATAGATTGGGATATGCCACATGGCGTTCCTGTGGAGCTGACACGGGGTGAGGTAAGTAGGCAGGGCGTACTTTCAGCTCGCTTGCGTGCATGAGGGCTTTCACGAACACCGGCAACAACCTTCAGATGCATTCGACGCCGTGGTTGTTGTTGTAGTCTCGGTGAGTATTTTTTTCAGCCGCAGATTTCCATCGGCGGGTTTTATTCTTTTGGAATTCGTCGGCAGGTCATCTTCATAGCTAACCGCTTCTCCTTTACACTAAAAGGCGTGTTCTCTCGCTTGCGACCTAAGCTAGAAGATGCGTCACGCGCTAGAATGCGAGAAACAAATTGCCCGTGACCTGGCGGCTGAGAAGAAGAGATCCGCTATGCAGACAGCGAAGCGCATGTCGGTCGTCTGGGAAACAGAGAAGTCAGCAGCTGGATCAAGCAAGGCAAATCAAAGCTCCAGTGTAAAATAGCGACATTTTCAAGACGACAGAAGAGATAGAAAAAGCCATGTGCATGAGTGACTTTAGAGCATAGAGCATAAAATGAAACGATCTATATGTCTGCATATCAAAATCCCAACGCAGCAAAACTCCATCATCCACCAAGATGCAAAAAAGAAAAAAAGAGAGAAATAACCTTGGCTTATCACTCACTCACTCACTCACTCACTCACTCACTCACTCTGATGATCCCGATAGGATTGCAGAGACCTCTTTGATCTGTACAGCCTGTCAGCCAAAGATTCGACTTCGGTCGGCAAAAAAGCAAAGCGATAGAATTTTTTACCTTGGGATACGACATCATGCCGTGATGATCGGCATCAAGCTGGTGAATATCCGCCTTCGCGACGCGTGTGCACCATTGCTGCATCCTCTCGGCACTCCACATCTGACTCAACCGTTTCGTCGGAGACACGCTGCTTCGGAGACCCCGTTTGGCCACCATGATCGTGGCAGTAGTCTCGAGTATTTCGTTCTTGATCGGGTAGTCGGCGAGAGCCGTGAAGACTCTGGCAGTGTGATCTTGCTGCGCGGGAAGCACGGTGCTGTGGAACTTGCCAGAGCGCTTGCTGCCATTGATAATGCCAGAGTCCTGCAGCTCTGCCACAGTAGTGGGGATCATCTCATCGCTGGTATTGATCAGGGGAGTATTGACGAGGTAGAGGGCCTCGACTGGCTCTCCGGCTGCTCGGAGTATATGTGCGACTTCATAGGCCAACAGACCGCCGCCAATGGAGAAGCCTCCTAGCTGGTACGGACCGGAGGGACGCTGCTTCCGAACGGCTGCAGCACAAATCCTTGCCAGATCCGCGAAAGAGCAATTGAATTGTGAAGGTTCTTTAACGAATGGCGACTCCACGCCATAGACGTTCCTACCATTCCCCAGTTGCGGAAGTTGAATGTACGAGGTGATCGTCCCCGTCTCATCCGCCAACAGGAAGAGGGGTGTTTCTTGGTTCGAGGCTTTTCCCTGGATATGGACCACCTTGCAAGTCGGTGTGGTTGACACTTGATCAAGAGGTAAACTCTTCGCTGGCGGTGGAGAAGGTGGCGCAGAGTATTCACTCATCGGGGTGACTGCAACCCAGATATCCGAACTCGTCGAACCCGGCGTGGTCATCGCACCTGGCACCACTGCTGGTGCAATGTCAGAGAGTTCGCTCGATGGCGTAGACGGCCAGGCGGTGAAGGAAGGCGTGTGGGTGATCCGGGGTCTCTGAATCGGGTCTGGTATTGGCTCCGACTCAGTGGCAAACATTGTCTTCAGCGCTTTGGTGGCCGCACCGATTGTGGGGTTGTTGACAAGGAAGTTGCCCATCAACTCGATTCCAGTCTGTCGCTTCAAGGCGGCAAGGACTGTGATACTCATTAGAGAGTCCACACCGATGTCTGCAAACTCTGTGCTGGGAAGCAACTCTGATCGACCCAACCCGGTTTCGGCGGCAACAACGGCCAGGAACACAGATGCAATGTCGGGCTTCAGAGCCGTTGTTTGCCCTGCAGCAATCTGGCGAGTGGTGGTGCTGATAGATACTGTAGCAGCATCGTGTCGGTTCAGAGCCTCGCGAGGAAGAGACGGAATTGACTGATGCGTTCTTGCATCCACTGGAGAGCTGACACTGGTCGCTGATCGAGTGGCCGATAACAATGTCTTGAGCGCAGACTTCTTCAGCATGTGGAATTTTAGCCCAGTGACCGTGGCCACAAGACGGTCCTGTTCCAGAACGTAGACATGCCCGACGATGGTAGTGTCGTTTTCGATCTCTTGGAAAGTCACATAGCTCGTATATTGCACCCCTGCACAGAGCTTGCCAATGGTCACCCAGGACTCGAAGCCGCTAGTGAGAAATGCCTTGTCTTCAGGGAAGGCCAGACCACAATTAAGCACGATAGCAGCCAGATGGGCAATCGAGTCATTCCAGTAGGCCGGCAAGAGATCGGTTGATTCGCTCGATGAGTTCAAAGTGAGCTTTGCCACCGCATCGCGAGCTTCTGGGTCAAGGACGAGTTCGTCAATTGCCTGGTACCGTTCGCTGTATGTTACAAGATGCTGGAAGAGCCGGTATACCACAGGTCTGAGGAGGCGGTGGACTTTGCCCATACCGGACCCCGCTTGTAGGGCTTTGATGCGGGACTTGATGAGTGGGATGAAGCGCGGTAATATTGTCGTCCGCTGTTCGTCGTCGTTGCAAAACACGACTTCACACCCTCCGTGCTGTTTCAAGATTCCAGCACAGCGCGATTCGAAGGTGACCTTGCATTTCTGGCTGCGTTTGTCCAGATACGCAGTGATCACGACAACTGTGGCGCAGTCCTCGTTGACGGTCACAGAACTCGTGAGAGTCACGTTTCGGAGCTCCAGTCCAGGCACTCGGGCACCACCGTAAAGCTTCTCGTAAGCATGTTGGCCAGCTGCTGTTCCCATAGAGCACCACAAAGTAACAGGCATCAACGGTGTGTCCGCTACAATGTGACCAAGGATTGCTTCGCGAAGATCGGTTTCGCTTGTATTGGACTCGAAGGCCATGGAGACAGAGTCATTGCCAACATCGCATGACAGAAGTCTCTGTAGCGGGCCTTTCAATGTTCTCGCGAGAGTGGCCGCCGAAGGCTCAATGACGAGAGGGCTCGTGACCGCAGTTTCTGGCGAGGTGAACGGAGTCCAGAAATTCGTCTCTTCGAATGCGTAGGTCGGAAGGTCGAGCAACGTCAAGCTGTTGGCAAAAGCTTTGTGATATTCTGGCCAATTAACAGGAAGACCCGCATTGTAAGCAGCGCTCAGGGCAGATGATGTGGTCTTCCATGCGTCTTCGCCATTCCTAAGGGCCGCTAGTAGTCTTGTCGGCTCAACCGACAGAGTACTGCCGATGAAGGAGGAGCAGATGGGTTGAGGGCCGATCTCAAGGAACACTGACTTTTCTTTGATGAGTCCCGCTGACTGTGCTGTCTTCAAGGCTCCGATGTAGTCCACGGCTTGGCGAGCTTGATCCCTCAGGTATCTCGGCGAGAACGTGCCGGCTTCTCGCACAACCTTCGCAAGAAGCGAAGAAGCAACGGGAATCGTCGGCTTCGAGAATGCAACGCTGCCGGCGATCGTTTCGAAGCCTTCAAGTATGGGATCAAGCTGGGCACTGTGAAAGCCATAGGGCAGCTGCAAGAGCATGGTCTTCATGCTCTGCGCCTGTAGATGGGCACGAAGTTCCTCAACGTCCTTTTTAGTTCCACTGACGACCGTCATCTCCGGCGCGTTCTTGAGGGCAATCTGACAGGAGCTAGCGCCGACCTGTGCGAGTTGTTTCCGGACGATTTCCGCGTTCTGACGGATGACGAGCATGGCGTAGGTTCCGGCGATTAGTTGATCCTCCATCATGATTGCTCGTGATGCAACAAGGTACAGAGCATCACTAACGCTGAGTACGCCAGCAACGCAGAGCGCTGCATACTCACCCAGTGAGTGCCCGATGACCAAGTCTGGAATGACACCAAAGGACTTCCACAAACTGGCAAGAGCAATCTCAAGAGCTACAACAGCCAGTTGAACTTTGGCTGCTGATTGCGTTGCCAAGTCAAGGTCGTCTCGAGAAATGAGCTCCAGGAAATGGACCTTCTCTGTGGGCAGTCCTTGAGCGGCGAGCATGGCTTGGTACTGCTCCAGCAACTGTCGAAATTCCGGCTGCGAATGAAACAACGCCCGTCCCATTCCAACGTACTGACTGCCCTGTCCTGTGAACACAAAGATGACACCGGCAGGAGCAGATTTTCTAGGCACAGAATCGATGTCTTGGTCGTTGATTTTGAGATCGCTTTCCATGACCTGCAAAAGTTCTTTGGTGCTACTCGCAACATACGACGTACGTAATGTGTGATGCATTCGGCGTGCCGTTGTCGAATAAGCCAAGTCCGAGAGCTTCAACGAAGGGTTGCATTTGACGAATTCAAGAAGTCTCTTCTTGTTGTTGACGAACGATGACTCCGTTCTCGCCGAGACGGCAATAACATGGCAGGTTCGCGAATCCTCTGCTCTCGCAGCTGGCGGGCTTGCCTCTTCGATTGCCAAGCAGGTGTTTCCGCCGGAAGCATCGAAGCTGTTGATCATGATCTTTTTCCTCCCGTTAGTGCTACGTTTTGAGGGACGAATGCTCGCACCCTTGGAGGCGATGTAGACATTCTTCTTGGCGAGATCTGGGAAGCGATGGTTGATTTTGAACGGCATGCCTGGCTGGGGCGGAACTCGACCAGTTCGAAGCATTTGCAGGGACTTGATCAGACTGCAAATGCCAGCAGCCTTTACACATTAGCGAAGGCACGTGAAATTTGAGGTCCGGTGACTTACTGCTTCACCGTGACCAATATTTGCCTTGACAGCGCCAACAATCAGCGGACTGTCCTTAGCGCGCTTGTCAGCGAAGACCTGCAAGACGGACGAGACCTCGACTGCATCCCCGGCTTGTGTGCCTGTCCCATGCATTTCCACAAACGAAATCTCTTCTGGGCGCATGTTCGCTTTTTGTAGCACCCGACGATAGAGCCTCTGCTGAGCTTCGGACGAAGGATGGGTCATCGAAGGGGCTGTGTTGCTGTAATTCCTTCCGCTACCACAGATTACGCCCAGGATGTTGTCGTTCTCTGCTTCCGCGTCTTCGAGTCGTTTCAGAACAACGCAGCCCAATCCCTCCCCTCTGCAGTATCCATCTGCATCATCGTGGAAAGTCCTGCAGCCGCCTGTCAAAGACACCATGCCTGCTCGCGACAAGGCAGCGAAAGGATGCGGCGACGAGAGGATGCTTCCACCACCGGCCAGTGCCATATCACACTCACGGTCGAGAAGCGCCGAGCACGCCAACGAGACGCAGGTCGTGGAAGACGCACAAGCGTTGTCCACGCTGTAGCTGCCTCCTCCGAATTTGAAATGGTAGTTCAATCGGCTAGGAGCGAATGCTCGCACAGTGCCTGGGGTCCAGTAGACGTCAGTGCCGCTTTCAGAATTCGGAACGCCGTCGCGGTGGTCATCCGAACATTGTCCAAAGTAGGTTGCGACGCGATTCCTGAAGGTAGACGGAGTTGAGTCAGGATGATATCCAGACATTTCTAATGCTTCGTGTGCAACTGTAAGATACAGACGCTGGAGCGGATCCGTCTGAGCCGCCTCCCGAGGCGACATGTTGAAGAGCCGGTAATCGAACGCACCCGGGCGATCCAGAAAGGTGCCATGCTTTGCAGCAGTGGAATTCTTCTTCTGGTGTGCTGCATCGTAGAACTGATCAAGATCGAACCGAGACTTTGGAATTTCTTTGATCGATACCTGACCTCGCAACAGGTTGTCGAAGTACTCTTTCACGTTTTCCGCGTCTGGAAATCGACCCGACATGCCGACCACAGCGACGAGACCAGACCCTGAGCGTGTGGCGGCGTTTCCCTTGCTCTCATCGTGCTGTGCAAGTTCCCATTTGACGTTCGCATCTTCTAGGGCTTTCTGCACAAGAGGCTGATAATGTGTGTGGCCCATCACAGTCAAAAGGGCTGCTGCATTGGGTGAAGAACTCCGCAGGGATTGAATGACGCTAGCGGTTGTGCTCTCAGGATAGTATGCGTTTTGCGTGATGTCGGGTATGATTTCTCGCAAGGTCTCGCCGAAAGTCGCGCCCTCGTAGGCCTGTCTCGTGAAGGGCGATAACATGCGGGCCTTTGCATGGTCGACTGGTGACTCCAGCAGGGGCGAGCTCTCCAGAACCTGGTCGATATTGAGACCAGGCAGATTGCTCATGTGTACGGCACCTTTGGCGTCTGTCGGTAATTTAGCGCAGTCACGGAGTTGCGGAACGGCAGTCCAGAGCTTTCCAAGCGTCGATGGAGGACCAAATAGGGTCAACCAGCCCTTCCCTTCGACTGATATAGAGATACGCCGAGAGAGGGGTATGTGCTATCCCGTATCAGCGTAAGTCCATTTCTGCTTCGAAGACCAACGTACCTCGGTCTCGAAAAAGGTCTGCAACAATTTCTCAACCTCGCTCCGTGGCAGACCAACGAGAGTAGTAGCCCAACATTCCTGCGTAGTGTCGATGGCCTCGGAGCGACGGATGATAGCAAGTGCGAGGCGAAAGATGATTGCGACCGTTTCAACTGCAAGCTCGAAGAGTTGTGAGGTATCTTGTGCAGTTAGGGCCACAGCAGCAGGGATTTCTCCAGTGCAGAAGGCGAGGATGTCAACTGGATGCAGGGGTGAGCCAAGTATAGAGGTTCGTTGTTCTGCGTGCAACAAGAGTTCGCCCAGCCTGGCAATCCCCATAAGGATGGTAGCCACGACTTCGCTTGGAGCTGCGGCCGCAGCATTGTGCTCGGCAAGTGCTTCGATACTGTCGGCATTCAGGAAGCAGGCCCTTTCGTCAGGTCTTAGTTTGGCAGCTTGTATCTGTACTGCATCATTTGCTGCTTGCAAAAAGTCCCGCAAGACTTTGGACTTGGAGCTGGATCGACAGAGGGAACGTATTGCAGGAAGCTTGTCCACGCTTTGGTCGCCAAAAAGAAGAATGTTGTGCGCAGGCGAAGGCATTGTGATGGGTGAGAGACCAACGGCCCAGGGTTGAGAAAAGCCAATGTCCCACGAGGCGGGAGGTCAGCAACGTAAAAGGTCAGTCGTACATTCAGTCGCCCGCTTCCATTGTTGACTAGACGTTGACTTTTGAAAGCTCCAGCTCCAAGTCACTTGCCATGCTATAGGGCGCTGAGCGATGGTTCGCCGAGTGTGCGCCATGTTGGTCCGGTCCTCGACAGAAGCTGGACACTCGGCGTTCTGACATGAACGCCGCCTTCGATCCAGACTGTACAGTCCAGACTGTAACGGTCCAGAGTGTACGGTCCACGGTGCCTGGCCATGCGTTGGAAATCGGTCGACACTCAACGGCGCATACTCCGGCGGTATAGAGCGTCCAACGTCGGTGCAGTAAGAGAAGTATGTGTCCGACTACAGTCCGAGGCCATTGGGTGAGAGATAGTCGCCGAGTGCCGCGTCAGGCTCTGGACTATCGGCGCGTACCGCGTGTGATGCGGCAGTATACCGCATATGTGGGCATGGAGCCGCCCGCGTTTTCGAGAAATGCCATTGCTATACTCTTGCTGAAGCTTCAAAGACCAAAGAATAGGCCCAGGCCGGCGACATGACATCGTTGTCGAGGTGCCGCCGAATACGTTGTATGGACGTGGCACTGGCGTGTAGATGGTGCGATGCGATGCAATAATAATGTAGAGCAGAGAGAAGCTTGGCAAGTGGCGGCGAGGTCACAGCGTCGGCGGAAGGTTGATCCGGGAGGGGTCATTGTATCGGCGGAATGTTGTTCCGGCCGACATCGAATTGTCTCATCGTCCAATACAACAACTTTCTCTCTCTCTACACATTCTATCTCATTCTATCTACTATACCCGCTCAGCGCCCTTTTCGCCCGTAGCTCCAACCGACGTCAGCTCATCCATCGATGACTCCACCGAGGACCCTTCTGCCCGTACCGCCCGCTGCGCGCTCATCATGGCAGTCCATATCCGCTGCGACTCGGCCGAATACTTGCATTTGTCGCGAATCGCCTTGCCGTATCGCCTGAAGAGGAACGGCAGCGGCGTACACGCCAGCGAGAGGAAAGCGGGGATCGAGGACGCCCACTGAGGCCCCAGCTTGGCGTACATTACGGGCGTACTGAGTCTGCTGTTAGTGTCGGCTGCATATACCGCTGCATATACTGGGAAATAATGTCTTGGAATCGGGCAACTCACAAGAGCGGAAAGGCAGCGCCGAAGAGTGAGCGCAGGATCGCGTTCGCCGCCAGAGCAGACGCCGCGAAGATGGTGTACGAGTCCACCGTGTAGTTCATCATCGAGATGAACAGGAGCACCTGCCCAAAGCCGAACAGCGAAGCCCCTATGATGGGTGCGATCCAGTGCACGCTCGCATAGGTCGTCCACGCGAAGATGAATAGCCCGATGGTCAGAATTGGTGCTCCGATGAGCGCTGGCGGCAGTCTCTCCTCAGCAGGCGCCATGCCGCCCCATTGAGCCGCTACCCGTTTGTATCGCACGTCCAGCCAGAGATAGAAGAATACAGCCCCCACTTGGCCAACAATGACGCCAAGGAAAGAAAGGCCGGAGATGCCTTGCGACCAGCCGTGGACCCCGCCGAAGACGATCGGGAACGCTGCGAGGGCCAGAAACAGTATGCCATAGATGATCGATGCGTACACCGCAATGAGCAGGACGATTGGCTCCGTAGCCAGCAAGATCCAAGGCCGCACCATTGCCTCGCGAAAGACAACCCGTGCTGGCCTCGACCCTTTCTCTGCTTCGACTTTACTGCGATACACCTTACCCGTACTCTTGGTCATGCTCCTCGCTCTGCAGATCAGAAGCCGAGGACCGTACGTTTCGGGTACCAGAAGGACGCCAACGAGGAACATCGTCGCAACCAAGCAGACCGTCAAAACATCGCACCAGAACCAGCCAGTAGACGATGCCAGGAAGCCTGAAACCAGCGGACCCACCTACATCGTCAGCTAAGAGTGAGCCGGCATGAAATGCGCGGCAAAAGAAACTCACTGTTGGCCCCATGAACGGTGCTGAGCAGTAGATGGTCAGAGCAAGTCCTCGCTCCCTGGCTGGGAACATATCTGCGATCACGCCCGCCGAGTTGTTCACGCAGGCACCTGCGAACGCACCGGACAGGAATCGCAACACGAGCAATCCCGCCAAGTTATCACTGCAGGCTAGACTGGCGCCTCCGAAAAGAGTGCCCTGGTAACTCATCACCCATCTGATACAATCGCTGTCTTCGTCGAGGTGGACTTACCATGCCAAAAGTGAGCAGGTATATGTATTGCCTGCCATATAGCTCGCTCAGCGGGCTCCACGCCATGGGACCAATAATGAAGCCGGCCACGAAGAGCGACACTGCCAAAGTCGCGACCACCTTGGCGACGTCGAAGCTTTCCTCAATTTGCGGGATCGCTCCAGAAAACGTTGTGCTCGAGCTTGTTACGCTGAAGGTTCCGACAGCCATGATGACCGTCAACACCCATTTCTTCCAAGTTGGGAATGCCATTGGATTTCCTGGCTCGTCCGGCAGGAACTCGATGCGAAATGGATCCAATTCCGTGCCATTGCCAGGCCAAGCATGTGCGAATACTTTTGGCGTCAGTCTGGAATGGGAAGTGAGTAGGGTGATGTGCGAAAGCGTCTCGTGCTTCTCGTCGATTGCCATAGTCCTCGACTGTGTGAACGTAGATGTGAGGGAGCGATGTTCGAGCGGGAAAAGTGAAGAAAAACAATGTTGTACAAGCAACGGAGCCCGCAAATCGTGCTGGATGCATGCTGATTGTGTGTCGGCGTCTGATTTAACCTGGTTTCGCCATGAAAAACCGCCGAAGCACAATACGGCAAGCGATGCACCGACAGCTCTGATGCGGGCCTCTGCACGGCTCCCAGCTTAGAGAAACTAACAATTTTGCAGGCTAAAACTTTGCTCAGGAGCAGCGACTTGAATTCCAAAGACGAAACTAACATCTAGCGTATTGGAGGTCGACAGACAGCTGTTGGCCCATGACAAGTCGAAATAGGTCTACCAAATCGAGCGCGTGTCTACCATGTATCAAATTGAAATGATTTGCGCCTGGTAAAGCAGCAGTCTTGACTTCGACATTCGGAAACATCAGATCCCACCCCAGTGGACTGAAGCGCTTCCGTGTCCTCAACAGCAAGCGATTGACCTTAACACTCCAATCCACGTCCAAATCGTGTGCTGCATCAATGCCTTCAGCCGCCCAAATGACGAACACTTCAGGAAGTCTCAGCTCTGTTCGAAGAGGCATCGGCACATACGACTCAATGGCTCGGATTGTGACTGCGAAGTGATCTAGCATCCACGCTGGTGCTTTTCGCTTTGGGTTGTGAGTGGAGCCCATCAGGTTCTTGTCTGCTAATGCCTGCACTGTTGGAAATGGCAGCGCTTCGTACAGCAGTCGACAGGGCGAGTCAATTAGCACCAGTCTTTCGACAATTTCCCCCTGAGCCAAAAGCAATCTGGCTGCCTCGACCCCGTAGTAACCGCCTGCCGACCAGCCACCAAGACTGTAAGGGCCACGTGGTTGCCGACGGCGGATCTCAGGAAGCCAGATCTTAGCCATTGCCTCGATTGAATTCGGGTAGTCCTGTGGTTGCCGGAGGAATGGGCTGTTGAGCGCTATCAGGCGGGTTTCTGGTGATATTTGAGGGAGTGAGGAGTAGGCCATCGCCGAGCCGCTGCCGTCTGTGAGGTTGATTAGTCGGAGCGAGAGAACGAACCTTTGGCATGCGCTTACCAGGGAATAGGAACAGATTTTGCGAAGTTGCCTTGGATGTGGCATCTTGCAAAACTATTGATAAGGGCATGTCATTGATCGACATCGTGGAGAATGTTGCAAGACTCAGAAGAATAGGGGATGCCGTTTCAAGGTTGAGGGATGGCAGACCTTTTCGACATTCGGAGTGCACGAATAGTTGTGTGCTGGCGAGCTCCTAGAATCAAGCTGGCTGTGCGCAAACATTGACTTCGGCGAGTAAAATCTCGGCGACTATGTTGGTACGCATATGGCTGCACAACTTCATGCCACCGAGCGTTTCAGCTTCGGAACCGTGTCCAACAGCCCCTGGCTCGGTCGTCCTAGATCTTGGGCGCCATGTGCCGTCGTTGTCAGGTTCGCCCGTATGGTGCGCCAAAGAAAGCGATATGGACCGCCGCGCCGAACGGCAAACCACGCCACGGCTCAGAGCAAGACCTCGCCCTCTAAAGACGGGTGGACTCCTCTCCACGAGAGTTACGCCGCGCCATACATGCGAAAGTCAAAGGACCTACACCAGACATTTGCCGTGGCTACCACATCAAGAACAGCAGCAGCCATGGCCTCAGACAGCAAATCAGTTGCCGTTACGGGCATGTCTTGTCGCTTTCCTGGAGACGCCGACAGCATTGAGTCGTTTTGGGAGTTCATTTGCGCTGGACGATGTATGTATACAATGATTGAGAAGGATTTGGGCGCTGACTATGTTGATAGCCGCCTACTCTGAAACAACAGATCGCTGGTCGGTGGATGCTTTCCATCACCCCACGAAGAAACCAAACACTAGCATCACGCGTGGTGCTCATTATCTCAAGCAGGATATCGCAACATGGGATGCCAACTTCTTCGGCATCTCCAAGGCCGAAGCGGAGTCCGTCGATCCGCAGCAGAGAATTATGATCGAAGTCGCCTATGAAGCTATGGAGAACGCTGGTCTTCCTATGCACAAGATGGCAGGCACACGTACGGGTGTCTACATTGGCTCTTTCACCAGCGACTATCGAGAACTTGTGCATCGCGATCCAGAAGCAGCTCCTCCGTATACTTTGACTGGAACCAGCAACACATCGACATCGAATCGGATATCTTGGTTTTTCGATCTGAAAGGGCCGAGTTTCACGATGAATACCGCCTGCTCTTCGAGTCTGGTCGCATTGCACCTTGCGTGTCAGAGTTTGCGGACGGGAGAGACGGACTACGCCATTGTTGGCGGAGCTAGTCTTCTGCTCAATCCGGATATTTTCATGTTTCTGAGCAATCAGGGGTTTCTAGCAGCAGACGGAAAGTGCAAAAGCTTTGATGCTTCTGGTGATGGATATGGGCGGGGCGATGTATGTGGAGCAATCCTCATATTTGATTGACAAACGCTGACGTCCACCAGGGTTTTGCGGCTGTGATCCTCCAACGCGCAGACGATGCCATTCGAGACGGCGATCCCTTACGAGCAGTCGTTCGAATGACGGGCTCTAATCAGGACGGCAGGACCAAGGGCTTCACTTTGCCCAGTGCGGACGCGCAGGCCAATCTTACTAGGGAGACTTACAGAAACGCTGGCCTTGCATTCGAGGACACAACGTACATAGAAGCCCATGGAACGGGCACTAAAGCCGGCGATAGCGGTGAGACAAAGGGGCTTGCGGAGACTATTGCAGCAGCTCACTCGCCGGTGCAACCACTACTGATCGGATCAGTGAAGTCCAACATCGGTCATCTCGAGGGTTGTGCCGGTCTGGCTGGGTTCATCAAGGCTATTCTGATCGTGGAGAATGCGTTGATCCCACCGACAATCCATCTGAAGGAGTTGAATCCAACGATACCTTGGGATGAGTATAATATTGACGTTCCGACGCAATTAACGCCTTGGCCCGTCGAGGGAGTCAGACGAGTCTCTACGCAGGGGTTCGGGTATGGAGGTAAGTAGAATTTGACTTTTCGATACTGAAGATGCAACTGACTTCAAGTTCTTTCACGCAGGAACAAATGCCCACGCCATTATCGATGATGCTCAATCCTACCTCGAACATCGAGCCTTGGACGGCCATCACTACACGAAGCCTATTGCAACATTAGGCTTGCTTCTCAACGGCCATCCGAGGCCAGATCCGAGACCCCGACTTTTCATGCTCAGTGCGCAAGACAAGGACGGCATCCCCAGGGTGAAGAGGACCCTTGCAGAACACATCCGGCGGAAGTCGGACGATCCGGATGAGCAATCGTATTTGCAGCGCTTGGCGTTCACACTCAATGAGAAGCGATCAAAGCTACAGTGGTCGACATACGCCGTGGCTTCTAGTCTCGAAGAGCTCTCCGAGTCGCTCACGAATCCGGACGCTACTGCTCTTCAGACTCGAGCGATGACCCACGAGCCGCGAATAGGATTCGTCTTCACTGGCCAAGGTATGCAAACATACAGTCTTGTTCGATGCTGAGTGCTGACGAGGCGAACGACAGGTGCGCAATGGCCGAGAATGGGACAGGATCTCATGGCGTACCATGCCTTCCGAAGCAGTGTTGGAGCAGCAGATCGCTATCTCCGGAGTCTTGGATGTACGTGGTCAGCTTTGGAAGAACTTGCCAACTCGGAAGCGCTTTCGAATATTCACGGGGCCGAATACTCCCAGACACTCTGTACTGTGCTGCAGGTTGCACTCGTTGATCTGGCCAAATCTTGGAACATTCTCCCTCAAGCTGTAGGCGGCCACAGCTCTGGCGAGATCGCGGCTGCATACTGCTTGGGTGCATTATCTGCGGAATCTGCTTGGAAGATTGCGTACTACCGTGGAGTCCTCTCGGCCCAGCTGAAAGATCTTGCGCCGGAGCTGCAGGGCGCTATGCTAGCAGTCGGCTCCTCTCAGGTTCAGGCGGAGGAGTACATTTCGGCCGTCTCCAAGGGAGAAGTAAACGTTGCTTGCATCAACTCGCCTTCCAGCGTCACTGTTTCTGGCGATGCAGCCGGGATCGATCAACTGGAACAGATCCTCAAGGAGAAAGGCGTCTTTGCGAGGAAACTCAAGACCGATGGCTGTGCCTATCATAGTGAGCATATGCAGGCTATTGCTCGTCTTTACCTGGAACTGATCGCAGATGTGGAGATCTTACCCGACAATGGGAGCGGGTGCAAGATGCACTCTTCAGTTGTGGGTGGCGTGGTGGACAATGAGGACCTTGGTCCGGTTTCATGGATACGGAATCTAACCGCTCCCGTCCTGTTTGCCGACGCGGTCAAAGATATGGTCCGTCCTGGAAAGGCAACAGAGAATTCGCTGGATGTTATTATCGAAGTTGGCCCGCACTCAGCGCTGCAGGGCGCTGTCACACAGACCTTGAAGCACCATACGATCACTGGGGTCCTGTACTTCCCTCTGCTCTCCAGGGGCCAGAATGATGCGGAGAGCATGCTGGCCTGCGCTGGTGCTCTCCATGCTCTTGGCTCGCCAGTCAATCTGTGCCAGGCGAATGACGAGACAGACGCTGCTTTCAGGCCTGTCGTTGACCTCCCTTCGTACCCTTGGAACCGCTCGTTGAGATTTTGGAGTGAGACTCGCATGGGCAAGCAGTACCGAACAAGAAACCGCCCACCCTCTCCCCTGATCGGCGCCCCATATCCGACGCTTGGTGAAGGTGAGCACATCTGGAGAGGATTCTTCAACTCTGCTGAGGAGCCTTGGATCAAGGATCACGGCATTCAGGGCCAGGTACTCTATCCAGCGGCGGGCTTCCTTGCTATGGCCATCGAGGCTGTGTTGCAAATCTCAGACCACGGGAAGGCTGTCTTCGGAGTCAAGATCCGCGAGGTGCAAGTCATTTCTGCTTTGATAGTACCCGATGAAGGCACTGCGGAGATGATTGTTCAATTGCGGCCGCATCACGTGGGAACGAGGGCTTCTTCCTTTGATTGGTACGAGTTCACTGTGAGCTCCTCTACAGATGATCAGGACCTTCGTCAGAATTCTGTCGGGTTGATTGCCGTTGAATACGAACCAGTCGCAGGATCCCTAGCAGCCAAGGAGCTGGACTCTGAAGCTGCGCAGGCTGTTCGGTCCTATTCTGACGCCACGGCTTCTTGCACGACAGAGTCCGATCCGTCTGACTTCTACAACAAGATTTCAGCCCTTGGCTTGCAATATGGACCTGACTTCGCCAAGCTCACAAAAGTGCAATGTGGACCACAGATCAGCTCCTGCCAGCTTACAGTGACGGAAACGCCCCACGAATTCAGCAAAGCCGAGAGGCCATGGCTGGTCCACCCTGCAACACTGGACGCCGCTTTCCATCTCTCCTTCGCGGCTATGCTGGATGATGATAAGGCGTTGAGAGGTGCCATGGTACCGACTCGCATCGACGAGGTTTCCATTGCAACGAGCTTACCCTACCAAGCCGGAGCGCCATTGAAAGGTCACGCCTCCGTACGGTCTCATGGCATGAGGGAGATGATTGCGGACATCTCCATGCTGAATGAAACTGCAACCGAGCCCGTCATTCGAGTCGCGGGGCTTCATCTTGCAGACGTTTCTGGCGGGAGCGCTTCAGCAGAGGACGAAGACTCGTCCAAGAAGCTTTGTTTCGAATCTATTTGGCGGCCTGTACCGGACCTCTTGTCGACAGACGGTTTACAGCGCATCATGACAGGTCCGCAGAGACTGGAAAGTGCTCTTCAGAGTTCTGAGACAAGTTCAGATGAGGAGAAGCCCTTTCATATGGTTTACGAAAGCATGACAGGGGCGCAAAATTTAGCGGAAAGGATTTGCGAGGTGAGTGGATAACTAAGATTGCTGTTGAATGCTCAGCTGACATATGTGCACTGCAGTACGTCCAAATGCAAGACCACGGAGCTCGCAGCCCAGACGACCTTTCGATACTGGAGATTGAGACAGCGAGTCAGGACGTGCCCCCTGTCGCTCTCCTGCCACTTTCGAGTACTTTCGCAGAGCTCTCAGATGCATTCGATTATACACTCGTCACTGCGGCGCAAGATCGACTGGATATCCTGGACCAGCGCTTCGAAGGCTGCTCTCTCGCTACGAGTGGTAGAGTTGTCGATATGTGCACACAAGATGCGCACGAGGCCTTTGGCGAGCAGAAGTTCGACTTGATTGTTATTGTGGACATCGGCTTGGGCGATCTTGATCCGACTACGGCGATTGTGAACGCAAAGCATCTGCTGAACTCAAAAGGCAGAATCTGTGTTGTTGAGACGAGCAGACCTGGAACACAGCTCGGCTTGGCCATGTCCGCACACCATACGAAGCAAGAGCGGTATGTATCGCTTTGATTACAGTCGCCTCTAATGCAGAACTAACACTAACACTGTGACAGTAGAAATTGGCGCTCCGCTTTGGCGGCGTCGCGTCTGGAAACCGAAGTCCACGTGCACGATGTCGAAGACAATGCCTCACAGCAATTTTGTATGACGCTTCTCAAACAAGTGCCAGCAGCAGAGGCTTTGGAGTCCAATCTGCCTCAGACGATCGTGCTTATCGAGCCTCTGGAGACATCCGGACATGCTGCTGCCATTGTCAATTACTTGGTCGATCTGCTTTCCCGGCACTCTGTTGGCGTCGAAAGAGTTGAATGGTCCTGCGCCGCGCCTGAACGCATCGAAGGCAGAAGCTGTATCTCGCTTCTTGAGGTGGGACAGCCTTTCCTGGCGAATCTCAATGAAGACGACTTCGAAGCCTTTCAACAGCTGCTACTTAAATGTGGCGAGATGCTCTGGGTGAACAAAATCGATGACCCGGCAAGCTCACTTGTCGAAGGCCTTTTCAGGAGTGTGAGGAACGAGATTGCTGGTGCAAAACTTAGGTCCCTACAGCTGGAAGCGAGGTCCACGTCTTTGACTGCCGCTGAAATGATCTGCAAAGTTCTGGGCTACGGTGGCTCCGACGATGAGTTCCGCGTGATCGACGGCTCCATCTGCTCTTCCAGAATTCAGGAAGCTCCGCTCGAGGACAAGGCTATTAGGAACCTACTGCCTGATACCAAGCAAGAGCCGGTCCTGGTCAAGAGGAGTGATGTACCTGCGCAACTGAAGCTGGCGGTGAGAACTCCAGGCGTCCTTGACTCCATTTGCTTCGAGGTGGACGCGATACCGGATGAGCCTATGGAGCCTGGTCAAGTCGAGATCGCCGTCCAAGCAAGCGGCATGAACTTTCGCGAGGTCATGGTAGCACTCGGCCAGATTCCGGACGACAAGCTTGGATTTGACTGTGCTGGATATATCCATCGAGTAGCGGAAGATGTCCTCAAAGTCAAAGTGGGCGATCGAGTTGCTGCGATGAGCCACGGCGCCCACCGGACGATACACCGAGTGCAGGCTGGTCTCTGCGAGGTTATCCCTGATAGCATGTCTTTCGAAGAGGCATCGACTGTCCCTGTGGTTGCCGGCACTGCTTGGTACGGCTTGGTGAAGCTTGCACAGGTTCAACCTGGACAGTCTGTCCTGATACATGCTGCCGCTGGTGGCGTGGGTCAGAGCGCGATTATGCTGGCCAAGTACCTGAAACAGGAGATCTTCGCGACTGTCAGCTCAGAGGAGAAGCGTGCTCTGCTTAGGTCGAGGTACGATATTGCCGACGACCACATCTTTAATTCTCGGGATTTGAGCTTCGTCAAAGGCATCAAACGGATGACGAATGGTCGCGGAGTCGATACTATCCTCAACTCTTTGAGCGGCGAAGCGTTACGGCAGAGCTTCTGGTGTCTGGCCCCTTTTGGTACTTTCTTGGAGATTGGCATCAAAGACATTCTTAACAACTCTTCTCTGGAGATGGCGCCCTTTCGACAGGACATTACTTTCTCGTTCTTCGATCTGAACCACATCGCCACGCGGAAGCCGGAGCTCATGAGCGAGATTCTTGAGAATGTGTTTGACCTGATACGTCGCGGGATTACCCAACCGGTCTCACCATTGACGGTGTATCCGGCCTCTGAGGTCGAGACTGCTTTCCGACAGATGCAGACGGGCAAGCACATTGGCAAGATCGCCATCACGTATTCGGATGATGATGTTCTACCCGTGGTCGCTGGCGCCATTCAACAGAGAACTCTGGATCCCGAGACCGCGTACCTCATGGTCGGGGGTCTTGGCGGCGCGGGAAGGAGTCTGGCTACGCTTCTGGTACGCCTTGGCGCGAGGAAGCTCTGCATTCTGTCTCGACATGGATCCAAGTCAGCACATGCCCCGGGCCACATCCAGAAGCTGGCTGAGCTCGGAGTCCGTGCAGTCATCTACGAGTGCGATGTTGGAGACGAGGCATCTCTACGCGAGACTGTCGAGCGATGCGCCGTCGAGCTGGGCCCAGTCAGGGGAGTGGTTCAAGGTGCCATGTCCCTTCAGGACAGTCTCTTCGAGAAGATGACCTACGAGCAATGGACCAACTCACTACGACCCAAAGTCAGCGGCACCCGCAATCTGCACAAAGTTCTCCCCCAAGATATGGACTTCTTTGTCATTCTTAGCAGCTTCGCCGGAATCTTCGGGAACAGAGGCCAATCCAATTATGCCGCAGCGGGAGCTTTCCAGGACGCCGTGGTTGCCCTGCGTCCCGAAGCTGTGGCTATTGACTTGGGGATTCTGCGCGATGTCGGTGTCCTTGCGGAAGGCGGCATAACAGACAATCTCCGCGCCTGGGAAGAGCCCTTTGGCATTCGTGAGAAAGAGTTGCACGCTCTCGTCGAAAGAGCCATAACAGCGGGTGAACGAATTCCCAAGCAGCTCATGACCGGGTTCGCGACGACGGCCACGGCGCAGGCTGCCGGAATCGACACTCCTTTCTACCTCGAGAGTGATGCACGCTTCCGCAAGCTTGCTCGCTCTTCTGGACCATCTGCCGACACTCAGACTGCCCTCTCCACAGCGATCAGCACAGTAGCAAGGCTCTCCGCGGCACCGTCTCTATCTGGCGCCTCTGAAATCATCTGTGAAGCAATCGCATCCCGCATCGCCAAGATCTTGCAGACCCCTGTTTCCGAGATCGACACTTCTCGTCCTCTGCATGCTTATGGGATCGATTCTCTGGTCGCTGTTGAGCTTGGGCATTGGATTCATAAGGAGCTGCAGTCGAGCGCCACGGTCTTTGATTTGATGAGTAGCTCTCCTATTTCTGCGCTGGCGAAGAAGATTGCGGCCAAGTCAACGGCTGTGCCGAAAGATCTCTGTTAGTATGCAACGACGTGGTGAAGAGCGCTTGCAACAGCGGGAGGACATGAAACTGCCAAGAGTTTACGCTGGATCTAAAGGAATTAATTAATATCTCAAGCGGCGTCTCGTAGTCAAACCTTCGCCTTTGTCCCATCTCTCAAGCAATGATCAACTGCTTCTGCTTCTTCAAGGTCTTCACAGCGTCTACTGAGATATTGAGAATCTGCGACACTACCGCCGCTGGAGTCAAGGCCAACCACTGCGTCAGCGAAATGTCCGCAACCCGGTCCGCCTTGAATATCTCAATCCAGACGAGATCTTCCGTCTCGGAGGTGTTGATGACATAGTGCCCAGAGTTGTCCGGGAAGACGGCAGTATCACCCGCCGCGAAGTCGAACGTTCTGGCGGCGGCATTGCCTGTGAAGATGGTGGCTCGGGCCTGTCCCTGAGCAAAGTAAACCCATTCTTCAGCGGTTGGGTGCCAGTGCAACTCTCGAAGCCCACCAGGCTTGATGGTCACGACTGACGCGGCGATGGTCGTCGAGATGGGAAAGCTGCGCGAATCAAAGATCTGGATCGTTCCGCCTCCTCCTGGTGCCACGATAGGGGCAACATCCCCGGAGTGGATAACGTAAGAGCTGCTCTTGTTGGCACTCAGGTCGCCGTATGGGTGGTCGACTGTGCTGTTGGATACGTTCCCTGCTGCGATTACTGGGTTCGTAGCAGGCACGGAATTGAATATGGACTCGTTGACTCCAAAATTCTTGGCCAGGATATCCTTTGGCGTGTGAGCGATCCAGTCGTCCACATTGAAAGTGGTGCCAGCGGCTTCGAAGTTGCCATCGTCGAAGACCAGAAGGTATTCGTTCTCGTCTTCAAGGCCTTGGACGACGTGGGCGGCTCCCTGTGCAAGTTATGAGCATTTCATAGGAATGGATCTGGAGCACTCTGAGGGCCTACCTTGGGAAAGTACCAAATATCCCCAACCTCCAGGATGTCCCAAGAGTTCTTGCCATTCTCATCGACGGCGCCGACTGCTACTCTGCCGGCGTATACAAAGCCCCACTCCGCGACTCGGTGCCAATGCATCTCACGGGCAGCTCCCTTCTTGAGATGCTGCTGAGCCCCGGCGATGTCTTTGCTCTGCGGCAGATCTCAATTGATGGCTGTGAGCATCAAGCTAGTCGAACCAACCGTGCGTTGCGTTTCATAAGACTTTCATGGTCTGTAGATTGCTTAGTAGGCGCTCCTGCGCGTACGCGCATGTGGCAGCAACATCATCTCATTCTGCGTGATTGCCCTGAAGCCATTGGTGCTGCAGTAGCTCCGTCGCCGTGCGGCGGTCTACAGGGTCGAGTGCCAATGCACCCTGTAGGAAGTCCACAAATACTGGCACCTCGTCTTCGTGCATGTCACTCGGCCGACGGAAGGGCTCATCTTCGCCGTCTACATAAGCCCGAAGACTGGTATTTTGCAGTTTTGGTATGCGAAGAAGCCTGCCTGTTCGAATCAGAACAGTTAGCTTCACCATCGGTGCATATGCGTGCAGATCACCTGATTTTGTGAGCAATACGAACCCTCTTCGTCAAAGTATTTGCTGGTCTTGGAGCCACGTTGTAACAATGTCAAAGGCATGGGCCCCAGCACTTCCATGTATTGGGCTAGGTGGTCATCCTCTGAGCTCCAGGCACCGTCTTTTGATGCAGCACCGGGAAACGCAATATGACCTTTCGTGAACTCGATGACCTAGAACTCAGGTCAGTGTGCTGCCTATCCTTCGTCGTCAAAATAACAACTGATAATGACTGGAGTCAGTAACCCTTACAAGACAGCCCAGACTCCAAATATCCACGGCAGGACCCCATGAAGCGCCGATAATGACTTCAGGAGCTCTGAGATGCTCCGGCTGGATATTGTCGCTGAGATGCTTGTCCACCCAGGACGCTGAGTCACCGTTAGTCTATAGACCAGTCAGGAGGCTGGATTACGTTTTCATACCAACACCCAGATCAATGATCCTAACGCAGTCTTGATTGGTCCCAGTAATCGTAGTTGTGACCTCATCGGCAGATGCGCCTTGCGCTATACCTGGAGACGCCTTTAGTAATGGTCTGTTAGCTATGTAGGCTTCTATACTTACGATCAATCTCAGTCTGGGTTATTTCAAAGCATACATTCGAAGGCTGGAGATCTACAATGGAGTTAGCCGGAACTCTAAGCGGTCGTAAAATGATTGCACCTGTGTGGATCACTCTGCAACTATTGTGTAGGAACTCCAAGCCTAGTAGCAGCTGTCGAGTGATCTGCTTCATGATTTGGACTGGTACTCGACGCCCAGGAAATCTTCGAGCTTGGGCGTCGAGATCACAACCAAGCACCGGCATCACTATGCATCGGTGCGTGCCGGCCTGTGATTCCGTATCAAAGACATCCAGAAATTCAATGACGTGAGATTCGCTGGTATCCTCGAGCTTGTTCTGCCGATGGGAAATAGCCTTCACTATGTCAACCTCAAAGATATCATGGTTGCCGCCATAACAGTCTGCGTTCAGCAGCTTTAATGCTACGAAAGATTCCTTCCTATCACACGCATCAGTGGGAGTGGGCACACATGGCTTATACTAAACCTACTCAAGATCTCTCGCTAGCCAGACATGAGAGTATCGACCTGCCCCAAGTTGCCGTATGGCTTCGTAGCGCCCGTGATTGAATGTGTCCTTTGGTGATGCGATGCATATCTGGCTCAGTCCCTCCGGCCGAGAGGTGGGCGTAGCTTCCTCGTTGATTGTAGACTTCGGGGTGACCTTGGTCGGGCCAAAATTAGGAAGCCAGCCTTTCAGTAGACGTGGCATTCTGCAAATGTTACGATGCGCTGGGCGGCGCCACGAAGGAACAGCCGACAGCTTCGGACAATCCAATGCAGAAGTGTAAGCCGCTCGCCACATGAGTGAGACCTCTCGCAGTGGCATGTGCTGCTATTTGCGGCGCATGAGTGAAGCGCGACGCCGTAGCTCGACAGATTTCCCTCTCCCGCGCCGCCCGCCCGCGCGCGCGCGCCGCGCGTCCGTGCGTCGTACCCGCACCACATACCGTCGTATCTTAGAGAGAATAGGGGATGTTTCAAACTGTCTAGAGACTAGCTAATACTGTCTCCTATTAAGAAAGGCTTCTAGAAGGAAACTAAGCTAAAACTAAGGTTTCTAAGCGAAAACTAAGTAGAAAGTAAGACTTCTAAGCGAAAACTAAGTAGACCTAAGCTAAAACTAAGGCTCCTAGAAGGAAACTAAGTAGAACTAAGTAGAAACTAAGACTTCTAGAAGAAAACTAAGTAAAACTAAGCTAAAACTAAGTA